ATTTTATTTATTTATTTGAGAGAGAGAGAATGAGAGACAGATAGCAAGAGAGGGAAGAGGGTCAGAGGGAGAAGCAGACTCCCTGCCGAGCAAGGAGCCCGATGTGGGACTCGATCCAGGGACTCCAGGATCATGACCTGAGCCGAAGGCAGTCGCTTAACCAACTGAGCCACCCAGGCGCCCTAAATATTGAATTTCTTAAGTTCTAAGGTGAACCTTTCTTTTTAATATTTCTTTCTTTCACATTTTTAGAATCAGTAATAGAATTTTATTGCATCTAGGTATTACTTCAATGAAAGACTGTGTTCACAATACTTTGCTGCACTTAATAAAGGAACATATATAATAGATATTTCTGTAAGTGCCAGAACTACTGTGTTATTTCATTTAAAGAATGTGATATACACACTGTAGTTCAAGGGACACACTATGTAACGTCACAAGTATAAAAGGTGTTTTGAAGAGCGATAGAATTACATTGCATCTGGATAGTGTTTTTTCAAGGAAAAGATGTATTCAACTCACGGGCAGAATTTAAACCATTCTGTAGTGTCACTAGTAAAAAAGATGTTTCTAAGACCGCCACTTGTATGTATAAATAAGACCATGTTATTTCATTTAAAGACTGTGCTCATTACACGGTACTGCGTTTAAAACAACCTGTACTTGTTTGTTTTGTTTCTTAAATTCCACATGTGCGAGAAATCATATAGTATTTGTCTTTCTCTGACTGACATTTCACTTAGCATAATACCCTCTAGCTCCATCCAAGTTGTTGCAGATGGTTTTTCACACTTTATTTATTCAAATTTTTTATTATTTTTTAAAGATTTTATTTACTTATTTGAGAGAGACGGGGAGAGAGAGAGCATGAGCAGAGAGAGGGAGAAGCAGACTCCCTGGCTGAGCAGGGAGCCGGATGCGGGGCTGGGTCCCAGGACCCCAAGATCATGACCCGAGCCAAAGGCAGATGAGCCCAGGCACCCTGGTTTTTCACATTTTAATGTCCATGAAATTAAGATGTGCCTTTCCATCAATGAGTACATGTAACACGGTACTGCTTCATTTTTACAACATAGTTGTTATTAAAGTGGCATTTTCCAGCGGATGACCTTTTCAATCAAATATGGTATAGTCACCATGCAAAAATACTCGAAACTCCATCTCCGTGTCTCTTTTCATAAAGTATAGAAGCAGTCTGCTTGGTGTCAAATGGTCTCACTATTAATCAGTTACATGGGGGCATTTCAGAGGGTGTTAAATTAGATCTTTACTCCAGATTCAAATGTTTTATTCCATCCTATGCAGAGTCCATGAAGAGGTGACAGGTTGGGACTGGCTTCTCTAGCCTAGTGCACTTGTACTTGAGATTTGGGCATGGGTGTGGTGCCCATTCCTGGACTCTTGGGAGAAGCATGTGACCACCCTCCGTTGGTTTTTTCACCTCCTACTTCCAGCCCTTTTTCCTTGTATCCATCTTTCTATTCCTTTTCCTTTTCAGCTCTTACAGCCTCATAATTTCCAATTGAAGTATTACCCTTGTATTTGTTTCCTTTTGCTGCTGTAACAAAATCGCCACACATTTAGTGGCTTAAAACAACACCAATTTGTTGTCTTACAAATTCTTAGGTCAGAAATCTGACATGAGTATCAACTGGCTAAAATCAAGGTGTTGGCAGGGTGAATTCCTTTCTGGAGGTTCTAAGGCAGAATCAATCCTCTTGCTTTTTCTAGCCTCTAGAGGCTAGCTACATTCCTTAGTTTGTGGATCTTCCCACTGTTTCAGCTAGCCATGTTAAGTCAAGTACCCCTCACATTGCATGACTCTGACCTCTTCTTCTGTCTACCTCTTCCACTGTTAAGGACACTTGTGATTACATTGGGCCCTCCCAGGTAATCAGGATTGTCTCCCTATTTAAAGGTCAGCTCATTAGCAACCTTAATTCCATCTGCGCCCTTAGTTTCCTTTGCCATATAACAGCACACTCACAGACTCTGGGGACTGGGATTTGAACATTTTGGTGGGGGAGACAGAGATTATTCTGCCTATTACAATCCCCTCTTATTCAGTTTTCTCATTTCATTCTGAAGTCTCCAAACTCTGAATGCTGGAAGGTTTTTAGAAGATCATTTGGTAGTAAAATTTCATCTACCTGAATTAATTTTGTGGCAAAATTTGATCTGAGTTAGTGTGAGGCCATGCATGGTTTTATTGATTACACTTAGTGGGACTATTTATACATTTTCTTTACTTTTATTTTTAAGATTGTATTTATTTATTTATTTTTAAAGATTTTATTTATTTATTTGACAGGGAGAGACAGCCAGAGAGAGAACACAAGCAGGGTAAGTGGGAGAGAGAGAAGCAGGCTTCCCGCCGAGCA